TTCTGACGCCATAGGTGTCTCAAGTTAGCAAACGCGGCCCGAGCCTTGCAGATTCGTGCATTCACCTCATCTGTCACACTGCAATCAGATCAGGTTATCCAGTCCGTCTGCAGTTGGACACTGCGTCGGACATTGCCATCATTTCAGGGAAGCTTTGGCGCATACTCGGGCGACCTCCGATCAGGTCGAACTGCTAGAAATACCTGCGGTGGAGAGCTAGAACTTTCCGGTGAGATCCAGTGCTGTGTATGTTTTCGGGGAACTACATCAGTGGGATCGAGTTATGTAACGGCAGCTGAGCTGAACTCATTAGGTCTTGATTGGTTCGATCGATTGGGGTTAGCCGGCACTCCAATCAGTGTCATATACAATATAGTTCAGTCTCCCATGGCGCATCCAGATCATGCGTCCGACTTTAGCAAGCGATTTCCAGTTGTTTCCCAATCTGGTCTCGGTCAGTGCACTATGACACAAGCAGTCCTTCACCTCCTGCCAGGTGATACGCTAGTCTTCCGTCCGGAGAGAAAACTCCCATACGCTTCCCTCCCACTAGTAGATGCCGAACTTCAACGGCTGGAACAACAAGGGGTTCTGTACCCTGTATCCTACTCCGCCTGGGCAGCGCCGATTGCCGTGGAAATGAAACCGCATAGATGCCGATTTCTCAACCGGCCTAAATGCAGCTCTCCAGCAACACCACTATCTACTGCCAGTGCCCGACGATCCATTCACTGTTCTGAACGGTGGAAAGTTCTTCGCGAAAATCGACCTTGCTGAAGCGTATCTTCAAGTTGAAGTCGCATCAGAATTACGCCCACTGTTGACAATCAACACACACCACGGGCTGTATCAATATACCCGTCTCCCGTTTGGCGTCAAAACTGCCCCAGCAATCATCCAGCAGTTGATGGACACCATTCTTTCTGGCTTTGCAGGTGTGGTCGGACAACTGGACGACGTGCTGATCGTTGTAGTTTCGCCGAAAGAGCTTCTTGATCGGATCACATTCAGGAGAATGGACTCCGCCTCCGTCCTGATAAGTGTCATTTCCTCTTGACAACAGTGGAATACCTCCGGTCGTCATCCTGACCCGGAGAACGTTCGAGCTACACAGCAGATGCTGCCTCCTAAGGGTGTCCCACCATTACCTTCCTTTTTGGGGTTAGTCAGTTATTATTCGGCATTCTTGCCTTCGCTACATGACATTCGACCCCTACTGAGTCAATTACTTGGAAAGGACGTGCCCCGGCGGTGGTCAGAAGAATGCGAGAAAGTATCCTGCAGCCTAAATGCGATGCTCAGTTCTTATCCGCCACTGACCCACTACGACCCAAGGATACCGATCGTCGTGGCAGCTGAATCCTCTACTTTTGGGATAGGTGCCGTCTTCCCAGACGTATCGGAGAAGGCCATCATTCACACGTCGAAATCACTAACACAGCAGCGATATGGACAAACAGAGGAAGAAGCGTTGGCCTTAGTGTTCGCCGTCCGGCGTTTCCAAAGTTGTTGTACGGTCGCCGTTTCACCTTACTTACCGATCATAAATCGTTACCGCCTATTTTCGGTTCAAAGAAAGGTGTTCCCGAACATTCTGCCAGCCGCCTTCAAGGATAGGCGCTTATTATGCTGGGCAACGACTTTGGTACATAATATCGTCGCACCACCGACTTCAGTCAGGCCAATGCATTATCTCGCCCGAATAGCAATCAGCCAACTCACGGAGAATACATAGTTGTTGCGCAAGATGCCTTCGAGGACTCAGCCGGCCCCCAGTTGGTCCAGTCTGTTCGTGTATTAACCGTGACAGTGACAGAGGTTCAGCAAGCTACCATGGCTGATCCGACACTTCAGAAAATGATCCAGTTCGCGAAATCTCGACGGCCTTCGAACCTCAATAATGATTGCCTTTGACAGCTCATTCAACGCCAAGATGCACTGTCAGTCGTAAACAATGTTTGGAGATCGCGTCGTAATTCCTCAGTCTTTGCGCCATCGAGTCCTCCGTCAGTTCCATTCTGGGCATCCAGGAATAAACCGCATGAGATCAACCGTCCAGCTACAGCACCCTTTCGGTGCCTAACTGCCATGCCATCAGAAGGAAGCACGAAGGCTGGGATACTGACAGGTTGCCCAAGCCTACATGGTGGAAGTCGAGAGGCAGTGGGTGGGTTCGAACCAGGGAACTTCCGGTTAGTAAATTCGTGCTCCAACCACTGAGCCATCCCGCAATGTGCTGGTCACACATGGACCAGCACATCACTGATTTTGTGAAACACTGCTCCCGATGCCAAAAAACTGCCAAAAACAAGCCACACCAACCACCGGTTCCCTGGCCTCGATATTAGAAGCCTTGGTCTCTGGCCCACATTGATCGCACAGGACCCGTACATGGCACTTCCTATTTGGTTGTGATTGACGCTTTTTCAAAGTGGCCAAAAACCATTCCAGTGTCCTCTCCAACAACATCTAGTACGCTGCATGTTACCCAAAATTTTCAGCCAGCATGGCTTAGCGGAGTCCATGGTCTCAGACAATGGTTCGCAGTTCCGCGAGTTTCGCACTCGACATTCTATAACAAACGTTCGCCACTGTACCACCCGCAATCGAATGGTCAAACGGAAAGGTTCGTCGACACATACAAGAGAGCCTTGCTGAAAGCGCGAGGGGAGGAGACATTCATCGAAGCCGTTCAGAGACTCTTGTTTGTGTAGCGAACGACCCCGAATGATGCCTTGGAGAACCACCAGTCACTTGCAGAGGCACTCTTGGGACATGAGATGAGAACTGTGCACCATTCCATGTCGCCAGCACATTTTACCGAGTCATGGGTCACACCGGTGGCAGCTGGGGCTCCATTCAAGGTGGGAACGCCCGAACTTGTCCCTGGTTATCGCCTGGGACACGATGCGTGGATTACAGGTCGTATCCCGCGCAAACGCCGTAGTGTCGGTTGGTCAATACACCTGACCCAGAAATGAAAACCAAATCCGCTTTAACAGCACGCCAACATACATCTTACTTGATACAACAGAGCTGGAGGCTGACGCAGTTTCGAAAGACAGTGTGACCGAGAGCTCAGTGCTTGATCCATCAGTTCGTCCCAGGTGGTAAGCAGAGCGACACCGCTGCCAGCCGGAACGTATTTCCGTCGACCCACGTCGAGGTCGTTATTGACTTTTCACAAGCAGAGGCTTTGGTGATAACATTATCCTTAGAAACTCACCATTTATACGGACCACAAATCTCTCGTTTTTGCCTTGGGAACATCCCCAGACAGACACTCCCCGAAAGAGAACCGACACCTGGACTTCATTTCTCAGTTTACAACTGACATACGCTACATCGAAGGTTCGGACAACGTCGTTGTATACGCCCTCTTCCGCATTGAGGTAAACCACATCGCAACGATTTCTATTAATCTATGAGTCATTGACTTTGCACAGCAATCGGAACCCGAATTTTCAAATTTTTCCATCCTTACGTCTCTAAAGTTCGTCAAGTTATCGCCTCTCAAGTCGGACAGCCTTACTGTTTGTGACATATCCACAGGACGCCCAACGCCTTTTATTTCTGAAAAATATAGACGCTCCGTATCTGACCACTTTCATGTACTCTCTCATCCGAGCATTCGGACGATTGCCAAACTTGTGTCACAAAGACACGTTTGGCCAGACATGCAAAAGGAGATTCGAACTTGGACTAAACAGTGTCTCAACTGTCAGAAGAGCAAGATTCATGCATGTCCTCACCTAAGTCGACCGTTTCACACCCTGGCCCATGGCTATTCCTGTCAATGACATATCTGCTGAAAATGTTGCTAGAGCCTTTGTCGACAATTGGACTGCTACATTTGGTGTGCCCGCTACCAATACCGCTGACCGATGTCCACAATTCACGTCAAAACTTTTCCACGACCTCAAACGGTTACTTGGTACGGATCACTTCTAAACCGGCTGTCAACGGCCTGGTCGGACGCTTCCAAAGATAACTCAAGGCATCGCTGACCGCCTCCTCTAACACACACTGGTCGGAGTGCCTCCCGCTAATTCTCCTCAGCATACGCAATAGTGTTGAAGAGGACTTGGGCTGCACAGCCTACGAACCCGTCTTCGATACTACCTTACGCCTCCCGGGTGTAATGCTTACCGACTCCGTAACCACCGATCCTAATTCCTACGCTTCCCAGCTTTGCCAATATGTGCGAAATATCCGTCCGTCATCAACTCGACAAGCCTCCAAGCTCACTCAAGTGTATGTGAATTTTTTGTGCGCGTGTATGCGGCCAGAAATCCCTTACAACTACCACATGAAGTACCTCTCAAATTCAGTTCTCGAAAAGGCGGATCCGCAAAGACAGTTAACAGAATCATCATCATCATCATTGTGAGCTGTATTAACCGTGTACTCGTCGTATAGTGGTTGTAGCTGCCGCAGTTTCGTTCACCGACGATTTGGGAGGAGGGGTAGGTAGCTGCGCATTGCAGGCGGGAGCTGATAAATTCGTGCATAAAACCAGCACCGTCAGTGGGATGTCAAATGGGGGATTGGGAAGGGAGCTATGCATTGAAGGCAATAGCTTGGATGCACGAGCGCCAATGAGGGCGCGACTGGGCCATGTCTGACAATGCTTCTGCTATTGATGTGGTCAGTCTCGGGGTCCCCATCCAGGAAGACGGCAGTGACCAGCACAACTGAGTTTGTTGGTAATGGCTTTCATACTTCGCTGCCAAGTCACTGACTGCCTCTGGCTCTCTTCCACTCTTCACGGGGTTGTGCGAAAAGAGCCCTTCGAGGAAGTCGGTCGACTGGCATACGCAGCACGTGGCCAAGCCAGCGCAACCTATGCAGTGTGATCAGTTCATCTATCGAGGGTGTTATTTCTCCCGAATACCATTCGACATATTAGCATCGATCGATTGAAGTTGCTCACACGCACACTGGACCAACTCCAGATGATGAGTATACCAAGAATCCCTCCGTTAAAGTCACATAGTTATACGAACTCCTCTTTGACCAACACCACACACATACTCGCAATGCCTGGTCGACATCACAAACTTCCTGTTCGTTTCAAAGACTAATTATTATTATTATTATTATTATTATTACATTTATCTTTCGAGAGTCATGCTCACCCGTTTGATTCTCTAGGGTGGGGAGTTCTGAAACACTCGTAAACTGCTATTTTCTGTGCTCACTATCATCTTTCCCCGTATCAATATCGGCCACATTACTGTACAAGTTTTTTAATGAAACGAAAACACAACCGCCTGCTTCTTGGGCTCAGCGGGACTTTGTGACTTTTGCTAAATGACAGTTTTCGTGACTGCCGGTTGACCATCATTGGCTAGTACTAACTCTCAACGTAAACTAAAATTCCGGCTACAAACAGTGGAGTCATCTATTCACATCAGTGGATTAATATTGCGATCACCGAATATTTGGAGTGCCAGGAAAGTAGAACTCTCTCTTCTTGCTGTGGCGGAACGTAAACTAAAATTCCGGCTACAAACAGTGGAGTCATCTATTCACATCAGTGGATTAATATTGCGATCACCGAATATTTGGAGTGCCAGGAAAGTAGAACTCTCTCTTCTTGGTGTGGTGGTTCAACGGAATACGAGGTTTTTTAAACTGTGAGTCAACATCCACTTAGATTTTTCTCTTTGTTACGTTACGCCTAACTTTTTCCGTTCACTAGACTCCACAGGGCTGTTAACCACTACACAGTTGTCCAAGGTGTCGTCTTCCGCGGAGACGGGATAAAGCAACGTAGCTGGGGATAGAATATCATCGCAGTCCACCCGTATTATCGTCTGCTCGCTGCGTGATCGAACGGTAAGACACGAGTCTAGGTCGGCAAGAATTTCGCATATAGTAATCCTGGCAGGTGATAAGAATGCCACTAAGTTTCAGTAGCTAACCTGGCTAGAAAGCTACTGGAAACACAGTCATGCAGACTATGAAGATTGCTTGGAGGACGAATAGAGGCGAGGTAAGGAAGCAACGCTGTCAGCTTTCACAACTGTTTGTTCAGACGATCTGACTCGACTCAATGAACACTGAATATCCTCGAGATCGGCAGATCTTATGGCTGCCAGAAAGGCCCTACCAGCCACCAGCGACTATGATGGTGCATGCAGATCCCTCAAACACCGGATAATCAAAAGCTTGAAAAATGGCAGAGAAGGCTGGTGGGTTTCAAAAGTCCAGAAGATGGAGAAGGCTTTCGCCGCAGGCAACAACCGCACCGTTTCAACAGATTATATCAACGGGTCAAAAGAAGGTACGTGTTTAGTGAGACAATATGCATAAAAGACGGAACAACAATTCGCTCCATCAATCGCCGTCTCAAGCGGTGGACTGAGTACTTCAAAGAACAGTTCATCTGGTCTCCTTCAGCACAACCGCATAAAAACCAAGCAGGCCCGAATGGAACACTGACACCAACCCACCATCAGCAACCGAAATCCTGTGCGAGACAACAATCCTGAAGCGTTACAAGGCACTTGGCCACATTGTTTACACCCCGCGCTTTTTGATGGTGGCGAGGTCCTGGTGAAGAGACTGACAAGCATTCTGCAGATTTCGAACGAAAACAGAAAACCAGCTGAATGGAGCTCCTCGACCGTCATCCGAGCCTTCAAACAGCGAGCAAGAACGTCATGTGAAGACCATCATGAAATCAGCCTGGTATCCGTCACATCTAAGGTGCTTTCTGGCATTATTTGAGGTGGTTTGATGAATTATTGGGGGAGAAAGATTCGTGAAAATTAAGCTGGGTTTCGCCTTGGTCGAGGATGCATCGACCATACCTATAGCTTGAGAAAAATCCCGTCCACTGACCCAGTAAACACGTCATCGCGGTACCACCGGTGACAAGAGGTGGCAAATAGGGGTGGCATATTACGCTTGCCACCGATGGCTAAAACCGGCCAAAGGTGGCAACCCAAAAATTTCATATACTTAATCGGTGGTGCATTCAAACGAATCGGTTTCAAAAATTACTTCGTAAATAGAGCTCCAGTATCCAGAGTATCCTGTTACATTTGTTTTCAGAAGGCTTTTATGCAACAAATGCTATGTTTGGCTTGTATTCACCGACAAAGTCAGTGGACACCGTTAGCCACCGGTGGCACTGTGTTTACTGGGGAGTTGTTTATCGTTTGGGTCATTATGTGTTTGAAAATGGTACGTTGTACGAATTCGTGTACTCCCGAAGGATACCTGGAGTGAAAATTTGCGTCACACACCAAGTGACAAGAAACTCGCCACTGGTTTACCGGACAAAATGTGATTAATTATGTCGATACACTCAAAAAAAACTGTATGTACAACTATGAAGGATTGGCCAAGTGTATTAGAAGCACGTACCATTATCATCAACAACCAGGTCGACAAAGGACGGCATCCTCGAGGGTACCGCAGAAAGACAAATCAAGCGCAAAGTGAGACGAAAGAGTAAAACGTGGAGTCAAGGTCAGTATGGATCATAGATTCACGGATTGATACACACGATCGAGACTTTTGCCCAAGCTGTCCTGATCGGTTTAGTTCTCTTCGGTCAGTGACTGTCGTTCACCTGGAAGGCACGGGTGTAAAAAGGGAGCAGCACTGCTGTTATGTTCTCAGCGTGGGTAGTATTCCTGCCAGCGCGAGGAATCGCATAAATAAATGTCTAATAGTGCTTTAAATGAATGCAATGATCCACAAAGAGCTAGGAACTCATAAAAAAGAGAATCAGAGGAACTGTATGCAATGCTGAAGGCATCCAGCGTTTCCCACATTTCGGCACAAAGAACATCCTGTTTCAGTTACAATCTAGAGGCATCCTGGTGGTCAGCAGCGGCGGCGGATATATTGAACCGACAGGCTGGCACAAACGAGCGATACATTTTCTCAAGTTTTCTGGGCAATTTTTTCTCCTAAAGTCTAATTTATGTAGCGGTGACTAATTTCTGGTGCTATTATGGGCTTTTACACTTCTTTGTGAGTGAAAAGCTGAGAGCGCATAGACCCGAATAGGAGAGCATCTCATAATACCGCATGTTACTACCCAAGCCGATAAAAACGAAGGAACAGCTATGAAGGTTGTGGATAAATAAAATTTTATTTGGTGCACTGTCATGTTGGAAATGCACTCATACTCATTAGGCTTCAGAAACATCAGAAATTTTGTGGGAGCATGGAAGGCTCAAACGGTCATCGCCAGCGGAGCAGGCGGCGAGGGCATGGTTATATCTTAGCTGCGTCGCCGCGAACATTTCTCATAGAAACCCGCCACACAACAGCAATATAACTGAAACTGAATTGCAGTATTTTACGCGATTAGAACCGTCCGGTGTAAAACGGTAGGAATCCGCATGGTTCGATGAATAAGCCGGAAGGGCTGCGCAACTGACACGTTGTCTGGCCCTGCTGGAAACGCGGAGCTAAGCAGGGATCCGGCGGCCTCCAACCCAGGCGGCCAAGACGGACAGGATATCGGAGTCTTCGATATAAATCTTTCTACTCACTCGAAAAACTATGACATCGTCCTCTCCTAGTGAAAGCTATCTATGGTCCGCTTGCATTTCGAACCCGGATCTTGACAGTCTACTTCCAAATGCAGAGGGACCCATCACATCTCAGGTTTGTTGGCAGTCCCTGAACGACTAACCAAAGACTCCTAGTTAACAATAACAAAGATGACTAGCGGTGTGGATTTCTGTCTCGAAGATATTCAGTGGCTGCCATCTCCGCTACTTCAAGACCATCACTGCAGGCTACGACACCGGGCAACCCATTGCAATATGTTACTTGGATATCCAAAAAGCTTTTGACTAGGTCCTTCATGCATCCCTGCCACAAAAGCTTAGTGCTGCTGGTATTACTAGGACCTCCTTTCAGTGTTTTGACTCCTGCTTAACTCACAAGACGCAAATAACACAAACAACCATCGCAACTATCCATCAACAATAGGGTCATGCAAGGAAGCGTGCTAGATCATATTCACCCTTCCTACCGCATGCCAACGATGTCTTCGACGCCGTGCTTCATGGTACGGCCTTTCCCTTCGCAGATGATATACAAGTTGCATGCGATTTTCTCCTCCTACACATGTGCTCAACTTTCGACGACTTCAAACAGACAGACTCACTGACTTGCTGGTCAGATGACCCTAGCCTAAGTTTCTCTCTCGCTAAATCCCAAATAACTTCTAGGCTGATGCGTTCACAATCAGTGGGAATCCTGTCACTCATTTCAAAGGTGTCAAAAGACTGGGTCTAACATAGTCTTGTACGTTTGGATTTTTCCACCATGTCTAGTTCCAGGTTTCTCGACCACATAGGCAGTGCTTTTTAAAATTGCCTTCGAGTCGAAAAGCCGCGATTTTTAAGCTATGCTCGCGATCCATCTTCAGTTTCCGTGACTTTATGCCGAAAAATTTCATAGAAATTCATAAAAACTTCCAACACTTATTCACGGAAATGTTTTCCGATACTCCAAATCCCTCTCCTGCCACCTATGCTGCCAAATTTTAGGTCTTGTACCACTGCGGCTCAGAGAGTTTGAGTTAAATCCAACTCTATGAAACCATCCGCTGAGCGAAAATGCCTCTGTGGAAGAAGATACGCCAAACGGTGTTTCGCTTCCACGCTACAGATTACGTAAATCCAGCGACGTTTTAGCATGGCCTCCAGCTTGTTCTAACCAGTCTTTGGTCGCTAGGCTACTCAGGAAAAATCTAGCATTTAGCCACTTGTTTACGTCACCCTAATTGTGATATAAGTTAAGTTGGTTCCTGTAACGAGGTCTTCATTCTATTTGGTGACTTTTACGACTCACCAAACCTTGCTAATCTTACCCTGTTCCTTCTTATCCCCAAGCATCGACCCTTTGAATTACTTGTTTGGAACGCCCTATTTAGTTTTTATCTATCCCACCTGGCCCGTGCTTTACACTAGCAGGTACCCCTACCCAAGATACCTGCGATCCTAGTTTGACTTTGTTTTGCCCCTGTAAATTCCCTGGAAAACCCTAAAAAGTCCCGCTGCTCACAGAACTGCACAGCCGAGCTCAGTAATTTAAAACATGACATCCGTCACGGGCCTCTTCAGGAACTGAAGGGTGTCTCCAGAAGGATGGGACGGCACTGCCATACCCAATTTGATGGCGTGCCCGCAATCATTCACTTCCAACTTTTCACTGTGCCCTATCGCTCAATCTTTCGTATACCCGAGACCACGAACCAACGCACCTGTTGGCCCAAGCCGCTCCCGGGCGGCTTAACCTTCTGTTCGGATCTAAACATCTCGGTGGTTCTCATTCTGTGCTCGTCACAAAGTCAATCAATTTCAAAGCAGTTCGCTTTCCGCCTTACGCGTTAACAGCAAATTCCACTTCCAAGGAAACTTTGTAGCCGACTCCTTTTCAACAGCGACACCAGTGGTTCTGAAACTCCTGCTAACATTTTCCGTATTGCTGATTCCTACACCGCATCACCACCAATTTAGTGACTCTGGCCAAAAGCTTAATGGTCCAGGTCATTGGTTGTTTCAGGCTTTGGTTCAACATGACCGGCCAAATGATGATGGTTTTGCCGCCCGAACGGTTTCGCTGTTCTGTTTCCTCATTTTCCGCAGTGTGATGCCTTCTTATCACGTGCCAGACAGAATGCATCTTGTCTTGCCCTCACTATTTTTGTTCCCCCCCCCCACCACTTTCACATCCCAACGATCTAATCTTGCTCCGGCTTGATATGTTCGCCAAAAGAAGAAAGACAGCAGAGGATCTGCTTCCCTGCCCGCGTAGGTTTACGGGCGACAACGCCTACATCGGACAATTCCCGCTGTTTTTGATACCGTCCGTTTTGCTTGATCCCCTACACCCACAAATTACGCCAGTTACGTTTATTCTAACTGTAGCATTATGACCATCCCAACTGTATGTCATCCAGTGGTTGGAAATAAATATCATTAATATTAGCAGTAGTAGCACAATCTTCCAGAGTTATGCGTGGAAAGAAAAAGCTCATAATCTAATCTCCTACTTCTCATGGCCTAATCGCATGAAGCTGCCAAAAGATTACCCATTTGTCATTTTAACTTTGTAGTTTTTATTACCGATAGAAACGAACGCCAAGGGAATCGCTAGTAGCCATGCAAATCGTTGGGGATTATTAAACTATGCATTTTACGGCGCTCTACAGAAAAATCGGAGGCATTTGAAGCTAGCACTCTTTATTTGACTATTGGTCACTGGAACTTAACAAGCGCGTACTTGAGCGTGGCCGTGCTTTGCGGAAGCGCCATTTGAGCTACAGGCAAGTTCGAGGTTTTGGTGGCTTTTACAATAAAAGGTTTTCCACCAGTAAGTAGGGACTACTTCGTCGATTACAGTAAGAAATTTGTTCCATCGCTGATTGAGCAGTTTCCTGCGTAAGCGCCGCGGACTTGGTTTGCTCACTTTCTTGGGGACGCGTTCTTGAATCCCTGGCACACAAGCCTGAGGTCGCTCCTTTGAAGCCGCTTATGAAGTGCATTAGCTAGGTCCTCACTGACTTCAAATAACCGGATGGAACAGATAGTTTCTTTTAAAAACCGATGGTGAGTCTAAATATGGATGCATAAGAACTTTTCCAGGATTTCGGATCAAGCGTAGAGGTTGAGCAGCCAAAGTGGTTTCAGGAAACCCTAGTATCACCGAAACTGTTCTGTGCATCATTCTTACAGCGCGTGGTGGGTGGCGCCAACTGAGGTCGACAAAACAGCATCGCCCTCACCAGCGGATAATGTCAATGGATTGTCCTACAGCTGCTCGATATGCTTTTTTGGTGTGGCTTATGATAAACGCTCAGCCTTCGAGGAATGAATTCAGGTGTATTTATCCTAGAAACATTTTCGCTTCGAAGTTTAACAACATGATTTGCCATCCACGGAGGCTTTGGTAGCTAAACAATAGAAACACGTTTAAGTAGTGTGTGCTGAATATTTTCGTAATGAGAACAGTCAATTCCACTATTCATGGGACCTGAGGTCAGTGGGTGCCCGTGTTCAATTAGTCAGAGAAATAAGGAACAACTAGTAGGAATTCGAGAGATCACTACTTATCTTGCACACTTTAAAGACCATCTGATTTCCAATCTGTAAATTGTTTTGTGGAAATCAAGCTAGTGCAATCAGAGTGTGGACATATCCGCCGGTCTGCCTGCATGATTCTCGTGCTGGTCACATCCACCTGGGAAGTTGGCTGTCATTGGCCTTGCAACTAATTTTTCCAGCATTTTCGCATTTATCAGAAACAACGTAACTGAGTTTTTCTATTGCGAGAACGCGCTTGGCTCTTGTTAAACGGGCGGATTCGTGGGATCGGGGCATCCATCTTCCTCATTCGGAATAGTTCATGTCGTTCACCTGAAAGTCACATTCAATAAGGAAGACGAACTGCTGTTTAGG